TTTACTACTTTAGAGTCTTAAGCATAAAAAACTGTTTTAAAGACAAGAACAGTGAGCATCAGGAAATCTAGCATGTGTACCATAAAATTATCCATTGAAAGCCATCAGGATTATGAATCTAATAGAATACATACTTGTATAATTTTTCATTATAAAAGCAAGGCAAACTGGGGCGCCTGGGTGGCTCAGTCAGTTAACGTCTGCCTTCGGCTCAGGTCATGATCCCAGGGTCCTGGGATCGAGCCCCCCATCGTGCTCCCTGCTCAGTGGGGAGTCTGCTTGTCCCTCTGCCTCTCCCCCTGCTTGTGCTTTCTCTCTCAAATAAATAAAAATCTTTACAAAATTTTTTTAAATAAAAAAATAAAAGCAATGCAAACTAATTGAAGAAAATTGGGAAATATTTAAAAATTAAAAAAATCAGCTATTATCTTACTAAGCAAACATAATAAATATTAACATAGAATATTTTCTTTTAAAATTTTCAACAATGATGACTTGTGTTTATAATGCTTTTAATCTGTTTTTTACTTAACATCATTATTTAGAATCTTTTCTTGAACACTGGAACATAAATATTTTAGGTATATTCAAAAATGTAATTTATTCATAAATTATATATTCAGATATAATTTCAAATAGTAACTATGAATAGTAAATATTTCATCTTGTAATTGCACCATAATTTACTTACGCATTACCCTATTATTTCCTATTTTTCACTATTATACATAATGCTGTTCTAAATTCTTGTTATAAAAAATCTTATTGTGTTTTATAATATGTTTTTAGACCAGATTCCCAAGATAGGTTAGGAATACAGACTCTGGAGCCAGACTGCCCGAGTTAAATCCTGTCTTAAATCCCTTCCAACTGTGTCACTTCAGGAAAGTCAACTAACCTTCCTGTGCTTCATATGTTTCCTCATCTGTAACACGGAGAGGGTAGTAATAAAACCTATCTCATAGGCGCCTGGGTGGCTCAGTTGGTTGGGCGACTGCCTTCGGCTCGGGTCATGGTCCCGGAGTCCTGGGATCGAGTCCCACATCGGGCTCCCGGCTCAGCGGGGAGCCTGCTTCTCCCTCTGACCCTCTCCCCTCTCATGCTGTTTCTCTCTCTCTCTCAAATAAATAAATAAATAAAATCCTAAAAAAAGAAAAAAAAGAAATTAAAAAAAAAACCTATCTCATAAGGTTGTTACGAGGACCAAATGATTAGTTTATATACAGCACTTGAAATAGTGTCTGAGGCATACTGTAAATACTATACAAATATCAGTATTAAAGTTTCTGAGCCTTAAAATTGCCTAAAACTTAAAAAGGTTTAATGAATGTACATGCCTAGCGGTAAGGTATGTCCATTTTAATTTCATTAGATTCTCACCGGCATTCGAATATTTTTAGTGTGTGTTTTTTTGTGTGTGTGTATTTGTGTTTATGAATTGATACGTGAAAAATTGTATTTCATTACTGTGTTACAGGGATTCCTTGTTTTCTGAGGAAAACCACTGCTGGAAAGTAATGGTCGTTTTTGTGATTTAATTTAGGTATGCAGAGCTTGTCTCTTTAGAAATAAATAAATCCATTGATTTGCATTATCTTTCTGATTTAGCTAATGATACTTATCTATTTGATTTATTTAATAACCTTCATTTAAAAAATAGCACTCATATTTTTTTATTCCTCACTATGTGTTATAGACTCAAGGCTTGTGCCTCCCCCTTAATTCTTATGTTGAAACCTAATGCAAAATGTGATGGTTTTTGGGACTGGAGTCGTTGAGAGGTGACTAGGTCATAAGGGCTGAGTCCTCTTAAATTGGATTGGATTAGTGTCCTTATAAGAGACCCTAGAGGGCTCCCTCACCCCTTCCACTATGTGAAGACTCTCTGTGAACCAGGGTACAGGCCCTCACTAGACAGCGAATCTGCAGGCACCCTTATGTTGGACTGCCCAGCCTCCAGAAGTATAAGAAATGTTTGTTGGTTAAGCCCCCCAGGCCAGGGTATTTTTGTTATAGCAGCGTGAATGGCATCTGATTTTGTTGTTCACTCCAGCCTTTTGCTACCACAAGTTTCCTATTCTGAAATTAGAAACTTTTGCTTCATTTACTTGGTAAACTTACTCAAATATATTTTTTCAAGAAGGTACGTTAGTGATCTTGCTGATCTAAAAATTATCTTTTTGTTGCTTTCACACATGAATGATAATTTAGATACAAACATTTTGGGACATTACTTTTTTAAAAGATTTATGGATTTTGTTTCATCGTCTTCTGCCAGTTATGGTTTCACAGTACACATGTGAATACAATATAATTTCTATTTCTTCGAAGTCAAAACCTCTCATGTGTCTCTTCGCACTGGTTAAATGAATGTAGTTGCTTCTTGCCATAAAACTGTAAAATGTTATCAGAAAATATCGTGAAGCTATTATCTTTCCAATTCACTTTCTGACTTTGTTGAGAAATTCAGTTTTCCCAATTTCTATTCCTAAATTTTTCTATTATATCCTTAATTGTTTTCTTCTTTAGAAACTAATAATTAGTTGAAGGTGTGTTAACCATAACCTATCCTCTATAGACATTATCTTCTCTCATTTTTTGTCTTTTTATTAATTTACTAAAAATCTGAGCGTCAATAAAATTTATTTTGTGACTCATTGTTTCAATTTGCTGGAATAACCAGTATGGTTTTTACTGCTATCAGCATGGTTTTCTATTTCCATGTTCTTAGTTTTAAAGACTGCTTTTTTTTTAGTTCATTTTGTGTCCAGTTTATAGTGGTTTTGCCTTCTTTATAATATGGTATTCTATTTTAATGCAAACAATATTCTTTTGATCCTTCTTGAGATCATTAAATAGATGTTCTTAATAAACTTACTGCATGGGGAAGGATTTCCTTCTGATATATGAGAGGATACTTCTTCTCTTTCCCATTCTTTTTCTTTACTCATCCTTTAAATAAAGATCTATTTCAAGAAAAGACACACCTCACAACTTTTCTGAGCTATCTCAGTTTGTTTAAGCTGTTGAAGAGTACTCTGATGCTTATACTGCCTATGGAACTCCTAGGATATAGCAGGTTTTCATAAGTGGTAAGTTCTCCTTCCTCTTCATAACTGCCTTCCCTACTGTCTAGACAAAATAAAGATATAGGGATTGGGCCTGGGCTGAGACAGATGATGTTCTAGTGCATATCTCAAGCTACTGTAGTCTCTACTCATTTGTATGAGTACTCTGACTCAACTACCATAGTAACAAAGAGAACATTCAAATTCAGTCACAATTTGATTCTAAACAAGTTATATCAAAACTCAGGTTTTTATTTTCTGGTGCACATAAAAAAGAAAAAGGGAAAATGGAAACAGATAAATACTGGAAAGAAGGTCATGAGATTACAAATGATTGAACTTAGCAGATATTAATATTCTCATTTTACATATTAAGAACAAAGTCTTCTACAAATATCAAATCATTCTGTCATATACCTGAAACTAATATAATGTTTTGTGTCAATTACAGCAATAATTTTTTTTGATTGTTAAAATTTACCTTAAAAAATCTCAAAGAAAGTTAAAGCACTTGACTAAGGTCATGGAGATACAAAGTGTTAGAATTAGGGTTCAGATAGTTCTTTAGACTTAATGTGATTTCCTTTATACTACAGGAAATCTAGAAAGAGACTTTTTTGAATATTTTGTTTTAAAGAAAGTATTCCAGCATCATATAACAAGTGGTTGGTATAACTCAATACTATTTTATTATTTTCAAAAAGAATCTTATTGTGAGAAAAGTAACACACAAGTATATAACCTTCTACTGAAAGCTAGCACATTAAAAGGCCAGGAAGGGAGGAGTAGAAATAGACAAATACCACATGATTTCACCATATGTGGAATTTAAGAAACTGAACAAACAAGCAAAGGAGGAAAAACAGAGAGGCAAACCAAGAACCAAACTCATAATTGTAGAGAATACACTGAGGGTTACCAGAGGGGAGGTGGGTGGGGGGGATGGGGGAAACAGGTGATGGGGATTAAGGAGGGCACTTGTGATGAGCACTGTGTGATGTGTATGGAAGTGTCGAATCATTATATCGTACGCCTGAAACTAATATCACACTGTATGGTAACTAACTGGAATTTAAATAAAAGTATCAAAAATGTTAATAAAAAATAAAAGAACAGGAGAACTCTAAAAAAAAAAAAAGAAGAAAATACAAGTGCTTTCTGAGCTGAACTGATTGGTTAATGTCATCCACAGTCTCAATCGTCATCAGACAGGATCTTAAATTCTCACTAGCTGGAATGTGAAATTGCCAAAGTAATATATTGCATTCACTTCTCAACTTCTTCAATGTTACTTATGTTGTCATTCATTTCTAACAGAGGTGAAGAAATTATCAGAACCAATGAGCATCAACCAAGTTACAGATTTACAAAGAAAAGCAGCAAACTGTTCATTAATAAGAAAGGATACTTTCTATAAAGTATACTTTCTAATACTTTCTATAAAGTATAACGTACTCACATTCCATTTCTAGTAATAAAATATTTGCAAGTCATTAATTGATTAAACAAATATTGCCAAATTAAAATTTGGAAGGTTCTTTGATGAGTATAGAATCTGATCAAAGGCAGATTGACTATTAAGTATTTCATCCAAATGATGATAAGTTGTTTACCCCATTATACAACCAAATACTTTTCTTTTTGTCACAAAAAAATTCTGATTTCAAATTCTCTTTTTTCTAGGTTTTTCATTATATTCCAACCTTACTACATATTACTATCTTAAAATTTGTATCATATTGTATCATATTTTCCTATTAGGATACAAAAGAATGGTTGTAACTAATTTAACTTGTTCTTTTATACTCTTTATATTCTTTTGTACTTTTCCTATGAGATAAGCAGAGCTCATTTTCATAGGCTATACCTTTTTATTTAATTACTAGTTAAATATTTTCTAATGAAGATGAAAATAAATTCAAGCATACTTACCACATGAAGAATTTTATTCTCTGTTTCATACACAGTACAATCCTTTAAAAAAAAAAAGAAACATATACATCAGTTTTAAAAAAGTCAAACATGCCTTTTAAAATACTTTCTTAGTGAATAAAGCCAATGTGATCTTTAAATTTAAAAAATAAAATACTTTCTTTGGAAATGTACAATTTGAAAAAGTCTTGACAATTCCAACAAAAACAGCAATAAGAATGGGAAAAAAATCTGGAATGCCATATACCAAAATATTCATTGTATTTAGCTCTGATGGTCAGTTACAGAGATATTCTTATTTTTGCTTAACTATATTTTCTAATTTTATACACATATATTAAAAAATAAACAGATACAAAATCAAGTATTAGAAAAAATTATTGTAACCATTTTCTATCTAAATTTTTATGTGTGATAAGTACTTTTTTGTTGAAGTATTTCTAGCATTTCAAATACTAATTTATTATAGATTGGAACATAAGGAAAAACACTAATATTTATTTCAATAGTCTGATCTTAGTTTCAAAAATGCTTTTATATTTTCAGCTGTTGTAGGCTATCAAATATCCTTTATATTATGCATTTAAAATTGATACACGCTACTAATAAACATCAAGTTCATAGTTCTTACCTAAATTTGAATCCTTGAAATTATAAAAAATTGTTTCTAAAAATCACCATTGTCTTTTTACCTGTAGTTGCTAGATTTACAATGAATAAAAATATAGCAGAGTGATCTTTGCTTAGAAACTTTGTTTCTATAGCTCATTTTTCTTAAGAAATTTATAAAATGGTCATGACATTAGTAGTAACCCAATAAGGGTATTGTGAGGAATAAATGAGAAAATGGATAAATGGCTTAGCACAGTATCTGGCATACAGTAAGTGATAAATACATTTTAACCATGAGTTATTGTTGTTCTATGTCTTTATTTTAAAAATTTAAACTAATTACCTTTACTTCAAAATATAACATTAACTAATTACTATTTGACCATCTAATTTTGAAAGAATAACCATGTTTCACAGTACTGCATATTTTAAGGAATGATAGCCCATTTCATTTTTTCCCCTGAATTTAATTTTAAGAAAAGGAATCTTGTTGAACATAGTTTTTGATAATGCCATTTCACCACAATACCTTGTCACAAGTATTACATATTCTTATTGGGGCAAAAGTTTTAAAGTTAAATTTGTGTGATTTATTTCACAAACTAATAGAAATACTTAAGGATTGGGCCTTGCTATACTGAAGGGCTTCTGTGCCGAAGAAGAAGTTTGTTACAAATTTAGACATATCTATGTCTCTATAAATTAAGTATGAATTATGTGTACAGGGGAGACAAGGTATAGATAAAGCATTTATACTAGGAAAGTGCATTGTACTTACATCTGAATTTGGAAGAGTCCAATTTTACATTAATTTCAAACACAATTACATCGGTAAGAGATGATTTGGGAAAAGCTGGAAAGTTGCCCAGTTTCCCCAAGCTGCCTGTACAACTTGCTTCAGCTATAATGGATGCAAGTTTGATTATTTACCTACCTTTCCAGAATCAGAGAATATGATTAAATGTTCAAACTTCAAAGGGATTCTCCTCAAGGCAAAAAGCAAATATGATCTAAATGGATACCCTGCTAGTGATACAATAATCATACAGAGAATAACTATTTCAAGTTCTTCAAAATATAATACTTTACTTGCAGATCCCTAGTGTGACACAACAAAAAGAACTATTAAAAAGAATCTTATACTATTGTTAGTAATCATATTGTTTGTTGGTAGTAGTATTGTTAGTCTGTTACTGTTTTGCTGAAACTACTGCATTTCTTTCATAGGATGAAGCAATCGAACAGTTATGTGATACTATCATTCTATCAGTTTTGGTGTCCTAAGTAATTTTAGCATGAGACAAAGTAGATACATATACAAGGTAAGTAGAACCTAGAGTCTCTTGATGTATTATGTGGTACACATATGTATGTATTTCTTAGTTCCACCCACTGAAAAGACACAAACAATCAACTGAGTAATGAATAAATTCCTCACAGTTAGTGATTTTCAAATACCATTTCCCGGGCCTTCTAGGAAAACGGTGGATTCCAAATCTGGGGTAGGAAATGTACAAGATGAGCTTGGATTGTACTGTGACACAGATAGAAAGAAGCTATTAAACTCTACAAGGATTGTGCCAGCAGGATTCAGAAGTCAACATGAGGTGATTCTTACTGGCCAAAGATGGAGCAATTGGGAATCTAAAAAAATAATAGTTGCAATGAATGGAAACAGGAAAGTACATATTAATTATTACATGTATTAATATAGTTGATGCTAAGTTTTATATGTACCAAATACATCCAAATATATTCAGTAACAGTTGTGTAATACTGAATATATTAAACATGGCCACTGACTTAGAAAAGCACAGTTTAAGGAGACAGGCATTCACACAAGTAAGTTAAAATATGTAGATTCCCCAAATCTTCATAAAGTTTAAGTTTCAATAACTTTACAAGTATGAATGCCACAAAAATATAGAAATCAACATGTGAAAGGCCAATTATTTAAAATTTTAAAATACCGATATATTTCTCATTAAAATGCAAAGTGACCATTGTGTTGTGCTATATACATTGCTCAAGCCAAATTTCAAACTTTGTAAACACATTCATCAGCTCCTGCTTCTCAGTGACTAAAAGGATTATATCTATAATCTGAGCTTTAAGATTATTCAAAGAATGACGTACTGATGCATACTTGACAATTCTGACATGACCAACAAGACAAAGTCTAAAAGAGATACATCAGGTGACTGAGGTGGACAAGGTTTTCCTCAGTCTAAAAAACTGTCACAAATATTAAAATTAAAATTAAAAAAATTATTCAAACTTACTGTTTGAAATAAACAAAACCAAATGACTACAAAAGAAATTGGAATAATTAAATTTTCAAAGGAGGGTTGCATTATGTTTGTAGCATATTCCCATATGTGAACTTATTAACGCTTAAATCTGCACTAACACATTTGGGACACTCACTATAATAAAGGCAGGGTCATAGGGGTGGGGGAGCAGAGGAGGAAACAGCTAACTCTGCCTTAAAAAAATCAGGAATGGTGGCTATTAATTGGGTCTCGGAAAAAGTAGGTTTTTAGGTAAAGAAAATAAAGGCGGCATTAATGCAAAAGCAATAAAACTACACTCCAACACTGTTGAGCTACTGTCATAATTTTCAGATTTTAGCTCTGTATACATGTAAGAATCACTTGGAAAGTGGGTTAAAATGCAGATTCCCAGGTTCAGCCCCAGATATACAGATAGGGTAGACCTGGAGTGGGGGCCCCAGCATGATTTTGATAAAGATGGTAGTTTGAAAAACAATCTATTTTATAGGATAAGATGTGATAGAAGAACGCCAAAGCAAATCAAACCAAAAATGACCAAATACATAGAACCTGTAAGACAATACTGATTTGTAAATAGTATCTGCTGGCTCACTCGAAACAGTTCTCAACTCCTCGGAACTACCTGCTTTTGTTACACATTCCCCCCACTTATTGATTGGCTTTTCTTTTTGTCCTCCTAGTAAACTTACTTCTTTCTTCAACCGCTCACTACTTTGAATAACTGCTTCTACTTGTTTGTATCTATACCTTCTTTCAGCCACATCGGCCTATTCATTATGAAAGCCAAAGGCTTTCACAAAGTGTGGGACACAGCATAATAAAAACCAAATAGAACAAAACAATACAAAAAGGTATATATTAACCTGCTACTTTATATTAGGGAGAAGAACAGAAACTAAATGACTATGTTCTTTTTACTTAAGCTATCATGTTAAGGAGTTCATTTTATCATGCTAAATATTTAAATAGCCATAGGTACCTTAGGGGATTCATTTTATTAATAAGTTATTGTATTTCCATCAAGACATGAATTTAAAATATTGGCTTCTCAAGTGTGGGTTTTATTAACACTTAGGGCCAAATATTTTCCCAAAAGATCATACCCCAAGTTTTAAAAAGAAAATAGCACTGAATATGGAGAAATCCACATTTTTAAGGACCTATTCATGCTACAAAAAGGTACACCTCTGACGTTCTACTTATTCTTAGGTTAGGATTAAATTTAGATGTTTAAAAAAGATCGGATTTAGAGCTATGCCACTTATACTCCTAGGAATTCTCTTCAGTAGCTCATGCTGTCTTTTGCGGTGCATGCAAAATGACACTTGCAATTTCTTCTTTATCCTTCTCCATATAATGCTTCTACAAACCATGTGATTTAAAAACCACATTTAAATGCATCAAATTCCTAACAAGACAATATTCATAAAGATAATGAGTGTTTCTTCAGTTTTGATCATTTTTTCCTTTTGAAAAGCCTAAGTATGCACAGAAACCGTCTCCCACGGATGAGCTATGTGCCCACACAGGATCATAATCAGTTATTGTTTTTGTGGAACAGTGATGCAACTGCCGTACTGAGCAGAACACATAGAAACACTTCTATGTGTTACCACTGATGCTCCATACTTTGTCAACACATTTTAAGCATCCTGGGGTCACGATGTTCAGTAAAAGTAATTATTTTTCATTAACTGTGTATTATAGGAACAGCTCACAGGTTATTAATATTGAATACATAAAGCAAGAGAGTGAAGAAAAATAGCGTATGTTTCTAATGCTGTATAAAATTATATTTCATGGAACTTTGTAACTATGAATGCCTTTTTTGTTTGTTTTTTTTGTTTTTTTTGAGAGAGAGCATATGCGCATGCACAGGGGAAGGGCAGAGGAAGAGGGAGAGAGAATCTCAAGCAGGCTCCACGTCCAGCTCAGAGCCGGAGGCGGGGCTCTATCTCATGACCCTGAGATCGTGACCTGAGCCAAAATCAAAAGCTGGATGCTTAACCAACTGAGCCACCCAGGCGTCCCTAAAAATATTGTTTTGCTTACATGTAATATTTAAATAATCCATCTATGCAAACCTTTAATAATGGCACCTTTGTACTAAATACTTCACATATTCTGTTGTCAAGG